GTTCCACGTGGTCCGCGGCCATTTTTCCGCCCGTTCCACGTGGTCCGCGGCCATTTTCTGCCCATGCCACGTGGTCTGCAGCTATTTTCCGCCTGTTCCACATGGTCCGCGGCCGTTTTTCCGCCCGTGCCACATGGTCCGCGGCCATTTTCCACCTGTTCCACGTGGTCCGCGGCCATTTTTCCGCCCGTTCCACGTGGTCCGCAGCCATTTTCCACCCGTTCCACGTGTTCCGTGGCCATTTTTCCGCCCGTGCCACGTGGTCCGCGGTTATTTTCCACCCGTTCCACATGGTCCGCGGCCATTTTTCTGCCCGTTCCACGTGGTCCGCGGCCGTTTTTCCGCCCCTGACACGCGGTCCACGGACGCTGGAATGGATTAACGGTAATTACATTGAACCTTATGGGAAAATTTACTTCGACTTGCGACCAACTCGACTTGCGATCAGAGTCACGGAACAGATTAAGTTCGATAATGCTTCTCTTAAACACATGTGTTTAAGAGAAGCATTATCAAATTTACTTCGACTTGCGACCAACTCGACTTGCGATCAGAGTCACGGAACAGATTAAGTTCGTAAGTAGAAGTACCACTGTACATGTTTATTTCTAATTCACCTATTTAATTATTCTTTTTTAACCTACTCTATTTTGTATAAACGAGTTCCATATTTCATTATACTTGTCAATACAAAGTCTATGTCTATAGGCAATCCGCTCAGAGGTGACAGGTGTAATCAGGTCTCCAATCCATTGAGTGAAAGGGGGCATACATTTATCTTTCCAATCCTGCAGTATCAGTCTTTTGGCCATAGGAAGGGACAGAGAATCCATTTACATTGTCCAGTTGTCAATTTCCATGTAATAGGTATGCAATTCAAAAGAATATTATCCTCTGAAAATTGTAATTTTTGTCACACAGTCATATTTATATAATCCACTACTTTCTCCCAAAATTTAGAAAGTATAGGGCATTGTAAAAATTTGTGTTTTAAGGAAGCATTATCCTTATTACATCTCCAACAAAATGCTGTCTTAGAGAGACCTTTTCTATTTGAACATAGCGGAGTCCAATAAATTCTAAATTTTTTTGTTCTATAAGTTGTAGTTTAAAGTCCATTGACACTCTTGATATAGAAGTTAAGACATTTTCCCATTGTCTAGGCAATATAGGAACTTATAATTCTTTATTCCACTCATTTCTTAGCATCTGCATATCAAATTAATTTATTGATACCAAATATCTATAAAAAATAGTAGCTTTTTTTAGTTTTAAAGGATTTGACAAATTGTTCTAGTATCTCAGCTTTCTCAGACACTGAAAATGCTGCTGGTCCAAACAAAGTTGTTAACAAATATTGTAGCTGTAGATATTGCCATTGGGCTATATCTGATAGATGATATTTATCTCTTAACACAGCATATGTTAAAAGTTAATCTTCATCATCTGTCTGTCAAATTCCACATAATAGGTATATAATTCAAGAGAATATTATCCTCTGAAAATTTTATTTTTTGTCACATATCATATTTATATAGTCCACAACTTTCTCCCAAAATATAGTAAGTATAGGACATTGTAAACACATGTGTTTAAGAGAAGCATTATCCTTATTACATCTGCAACAGAAAGAAAAAAAATCTTAAATTAGCGAAGCTAGTAGTCACGGAATGCCGTATGCTTCCACTTTACCTGCTAAAGCTGGTAATTATCTTGGGAAGTCTTCAGAAACCCTCTGTGTTTTGCTTTTGCTTTTATTACTGCTTCTTCTGGGATGCAATACTTACTTACATGCTCATATGTAAAAGCGGGTTAATGTAGAATTAGAATATGACCGTTTATGACAGTAATTAGACTTGCATATTCTCCTTGTCTTCCTTATCTGTAGTATGCCAGGCCAGCTTCTGATGTCAACATGCTGGGTGAGATGATGTTTGGTTCAGTAGCAATGCGTTACAAAGGCTCTACACTGAAAATACACTACATACGGTGAGCTGGTGTCTCCAGTTCCTTGGTATTATATCAGAATTGGAATTGCATTTGGAATTATTGACTCAGTAGCATTGTCTATCCTTTCAGTTCTCCCCCACAACTTATGATGAGTAAAGTGTTCTCTGCCAGAATAGGCAGCTTCTTTGGAAGTACAAATAGGTAAGGCAATCTTTATTTTCTGTTTCATTTCAGATTCTTAACTATAAGAAAAAATCCTTGCAAGTTCAATTTATTTTATTTTTAAAAATAACATTAAAATCTAGACCATGAGGGAATCAATGGACTGTAATTTTGTCTGCATAAGAAATAAACATCAACACTATATAGGAAGAGGTAAAACTTCCATCCAGAACAATAGCGCTAGTAATAATGGAGAATCTCTAAGTTTAGACAGGAATTAAAATGACGTATTAACTGACCTAATCCCCTATATTGGAATATATAGATCTGCAATAGGAAACACAATATGTACACAGTAGGGCTCAGGTGAGATGGCTTTTCAAGTTCTTTACCAAATTTGTGGGTAGAGAAATTAGGTAGATAATTTCTCCAATTTTCTCCAGGGAAAGGAATTTCCTAATGGCAGAAATCCTCCCTCAGTGGGGACCATAACACCATTACAGGTAGTCCCCAGTTTAAGAACGAGTTCCGTTACCAAGGTCTATCCTTAGGTTGAGTTTGTATGTAATCTGGAACAGTATTATTGTATAATACTGTATAAGTAGTATTGTGTAATTAACTTGAATCATTGTGTATTTAACTCAAATTTTGCTACAATAGGCTATGGGTCGTCTGTAACCTGGGTGTTCTTAACCCAGGGACTACCTGTACTAAAAAAGAACACCTAGAGAAATTCCTATTTAAAGGAATTTATATAGACCTTATGCTGGAGAAGACTCTTAAGAGTC